TGCATTGATCTGATGTGGCCAACTTTCCTCGTGGAGAAAGCGCAGGCATTAAAAATTAGTTTTTAAAAAAAAATAATGCGCAAAAAATACAGTAGTATAAATATGTAATAACTATATAAAATAAGATATGCCGTTCTTTCCAAAATCACACCATATGGTTGTCTTCAGGGAAAGGCGTCGAGTCTAACGAAGCCGAACGCCAGAAATTAAACTACTTGATCAAACTGTCAAAGTAACTCAGACTTACAACCATACATACCATTATGGGATTATAGATAGCAGGGGCGGGGGGACCCAGCGGCAGGGATCTCACCCCTCCCCCCCACCTTTCTTATTTTAAAGGGGTCTCAGCCGCTCCACCCCCTCCCCCTACTCCATGTTTAGAAATTCTCTAAAGTTTTTGTTTAAACATATTGTTTCAAATATGAATTACATTCATTTTTCCATTCAGCATATTATTATTATTATTATTATTATTATTATTATTATTATTATTATTATTATTATTACTATTATTATTATTCATGTGCCCTGCCAACTGGCTGGCGTAGGCGCTCATGCGTCTCCATAGATCACGATCCCTGGCTGCCTGAAACAGCTTTCTTGATATATCTCTCCATGCCATCGTTTCAGCCCACCCAGCTTCATCTCTCTTGGTCTGCCTCTACCCCTTTTCCACTGATATTTCAAGTTGTCACTTATTGTTTTTATTATTATTATTATTATTATTATTATTATTATTACACGCTTCATCGTTGGCTTCTGCCTGTTAATGGCTTGCACCACCTCGGATCCCTACTAGAAGACGTATAAGGAGGCTGAGTAGGGCCCCCCTCCCATGTTTTCGTAGTGTCGGCACCATTCATAGACAGACACCTGGAGAGATGCCGCGGTCTTGATACATTTTAAAGAAGAGCTCTGTTTGAAATGAGTAGTTATCAACCGATATATATATATATAAATCGGAAGCCGCCGTATTGTGGAGGTTAGACGCTTGCCTGCAGATCCGAAGGTCTGGGTTCAGTTCCTGATGGGGTCGTGCTTTTTCCAAAAATAATCTCGGCCCCCAGGTCGACCCAACCCTGCTCAGTAAAGTTCTTGGGAAGTAAAGCGGTCTGTGTTGTCACTATTAAAAACAGAAGGATGTGAACAGATATAATGACCAATAGATATTGGTACACCAAAAGGCAAATCAAGAAGACGGCGGAAAGAGATAATTTCCGGGCTGACCTGGTTTATAGTTCATATACCTGTTCAAAATGATGTCATGAAGTGCTCCGTTCTACTTTTAACTTAAGCCTGAGTTCGAAATTTCTCAGCACACTGCAAAAACTCCGTAGCACCGGCGAGGATCCTGAAATACTTTAGGTAGATTTTTTACTCCAAATTTTGCACGGTCAGCACCGTTAGGCTATTCTGTGATTTTTTTTTTTTTTACGTTCGCAACAGTGAACGATCTTATTACCCAGAGACCAGAGAAAACTACTAGAAGTCCACGGGAAATTACCCCAGTCTTCACCGGGGCCTGAACCCCAGACCTCCAGCATTCGAGGCGGACGCCATACATCAAGACCACTCAGCCCCTATAAACTCAGTCACCAACTTCCAGTCAGTCACAGAAATGAATGGTAAAGACTGCCAATAGTTGCCTTTATTACCACTTATGCGGTGTAGGCAGGGGGTCTTTGAGTCTGAGGATTTACGGCCGCATGTCTAGTGCTGTCGCCATGACTGTGCAGATGAGGTTTTTATTTTGCCCCCGACAGAAAAAAAAAATTCCCCAGCCTTACCGAAGATTCGAACCCGCGTCTCCCACTTGAGATCCTTGCGTTCTAACCGTTTGGCCAGCCTCTCCACAGAAACGAATGGCACCGGGTGATATCTGCAGTGAACCCCGGTGGATCGAAGAGCTGGGGCTGAAGAAGAAGCTACTTGTGCAGTTACACACACATGTATGTCTGGGTCAGATATAACTTTCCATACATGCAGTGAAACGTGACTCGAAAGAGTTGACATATGACTGGCTGTCTCATCTTGCAAACAAGTCCTTGGCTGTAAAATTACATATATCCATTCTCTCACACACACAATAGACGCACACATATCATCATCACCATCAGCATGTGTCATATCAATAAACTTAGGTGACCATGTTTCATCATCTCACATGATCCACAGAATTACGGATCAGGCCAGCAGTCTCCTCATCCTCTATCCATATTACTAAGTCGTTCGTGTATTTATCTCTTCACCTCCCCCTAGTTTTTTTTTTTTTTTTTCAAGCAATCTTGCCGGTCGTTTCCCAAGTTTTTGAGTCAAATTTTCCCACTGCCCGTTTTTTAATATTTTTTGTTCTATGATATTCTTTGTATTTTTTTTTCAAACACCACACCTCTACTGCGAGTAAATGTTTTTTTCAGCTTATATTTTTATTGTCCATCTCACATTCATATAAGCAACACAGGTTCTATATGGCTTCAATACCCGTTTTTTTGCTGAGTAGGTATCTTCTGCAAATGGTAAAAGACCATTACTCAGACACAACGAACACACATACTCACACATGAAACATCCCAAGGCTCATCATTGAGCTGTACACTATTCCTAATCTTTATCAATGACCTGCCAGAACAAATCAAAGCTGAAAAAGCCTTGTACGCTGATGACCTAGCAATATGGCAGAGTCATGAAAATGTGGAAAGTGGAGCCCAAAGACTGAATGGAGACCTTAGAAGACTGCATGAGTACTGCCAAAGATGGAAACTCAAGGTTAACTGTGCAAAGACGGTCTACACAATCTTTACCAAAAGCCACCAGGTAGCAAGGAAGAATATTAACCTGAGGTTAGACAAACACCAAGTGATGAAAGAAGAGCATCCCACATACCTTGGAGTCACACTTGACCGGTAGCTCAGCCTCAAGAACCATATTGAAAACATCAGGAATAAGGCATTGAGGCGGTTAACAGTTATTAAAGAGACTTGCAGGTACATCATGGGGATCAGACAAGGAAACTCTGAGGGGCTTATATCTAGGATATGTTCGCTCTGTGATAGAGTACAACAACTCACTGCTTGCAACTTGCTCCAAAAACTAACCTAGAGACTCTTGACAGAGTACAAAATAATGCCCTCCGATTAATTTGCGGAGCTATGCAGTCTACACCAACTGCTGCATGTGAAATCCATACAAATGTGGAACCCCTCGGGTTGCGGAGAGAAAAAGCCACTTTAGAAATTTATGAAAGATGCGTTAGGAAAAATCGTAACCATCCTAATAGACATCTTGTAGAAAACTGGGAATACAAACAAAGAATAAAGCACAAATCGGTTTTACACTGTGTTAATGAAATTCAGGACAGATACCACCTCCCAGAAAGACGTCAAGGAATTCAGAATGTTGCAAGAAACCTACCACCACATGCTCGCTTTAAAACTCCGGAAGTCCGAACTAAATTGGTAGGCGAGGAAACCAAACAGTCCGACCCAATTGCTCTTATGAACTCATCACTAAAGACCGTTGATTCTTACCCCCAAGAATGGATACATGTCTATACTGATGGATCAGCATTTAAAGCTACCATTAAAGCAGGTTACGGAATCTACATAGCTTATCCCGATGGATCTGTTGAAGAGATTTTTGATGCATGCGGGGAATTCTGTTCAAACTATGAAGCTGAAATAATTGCACTGGAAACAGCAGTATACCACCTAAAGACTGTAATGGATGTTTACCCTTCAAAGGTCCGAAATATTGTCATCTTTACAGATTCAATGTCTGCCCTTCAAGCTCTGGAGGGCAGTGAACGCTGCAGAACTGATATAGCCAAGATAATCCTGGATGCTGATCAGCTTATTACCTCATACAACATCAGAATAGTGATGGAGTGGATTCCAGGTCACTCCGGCACACCAGGTAATGACAGAGCTGACAGATTGGCAAAGAAAGGAGCAACACAAGAACAACCACCTACAGCGACAACCCTCCAGACAGCAAAAACACTGATAAGAGCTATAAACAAAGAGACTTGGTTGAACAGATGGGCCATGGGAGACACTGGAAGAGAGGTTTATAGACATATGTCTGGCCCTGATCCTAATGACAGCATTAACCATCTAACAAGAAGGGACCAGGCCACCATCTTCAGACTTAGAACGCAACATACTCCACTCAATGGACACCTAAACAGAATACAGCCACAACACTCTCCAGAGTGCCAGCTATGTAACTACCCCTACGAAACTGTTGAACACCATCTCTTTGAGTGCCCAGAACTCAGTGAGACAAGAAGAACGCTACTCCCTCCGAGACCAGACAAGTGGAACACCTTGTACGGAAGAAAAGAACAGCTTGTGAAAACATGCAAATTCCACTACATGGCATTGGACCAAAGGGCGAAAGCTCATGCGCCGCTGGATCGATAACAACAACAACAACATGAAACATCCCCTCCCTCCCCACCCGCCGGGTTCTGGGGCCCATTGTGGGGGAGAACAAGAATAGACTCACTGCTTCCCTAACAAGCCTGTCGGTCGAAGTCGACTAATTGGAAAAGGGGGCGGGGGTGGGTTCCTTGGAAGTCAGAGTGCATCTGCCCGAGAAGCAAGGAACCAACAGTATGCTTACAAATAAGTCAAATCTGTAAAACGGATTGCATGCAAGGCTCAGGTTCTGGAATAAGTTTAATGTCCAGAGGTGGAAGAACAACCAGAACTTTCCGCCAGAGTCTACAGCCGGTGAACGAGAAAAGAAAAAAAAAGCAAACAAACAACACACACACACGCGCGCACACACACGAACGCACGCACGCAAGCACGCACGAAAAAAAAAATGCTTTATCTTTTCCCTTTCTTTATTCCAGAACCGAACCGTGTAGAAAAATGATATATGAAGCGAACACCTGCCAGATTTAGGTTGCACATTTGACATTCCACACACGCCTGAAGCCGAACTTTCATGCAGAAGAGTGGACATCTCTATGCCTGTTTGCCGCCTTCATCATGGTGTATGAGTACACAAAGCCTCGAGGGCCTATCGCCCAGTTATACACATCACCTGGCCCAGCCTACATGCTGCCGACACTCCTTGGAGAAAGGGCTCATGATCCTCGGAGTGTCCACTACAAGAACCCAGCCTATTCCTTCGGGGTCAGACATGGGTATTATAAAAGCACCCCCGGCCCTGGACCCTGTCATTATCCCAATCCAAAAGTAAGATATTAACTTGTCGAATAGTTTTGATACATAATAAACAAACAATGATTGACGCTCATAAAAGAAGGAATTGACGTGTGTAAGTCTTGGACTATCACTCAGACATTGAAGAAAAAGATTAGAGCTTTTAAAATGAAATGTTATAGAAAAATTCTTAGAATACCTTGGATCAGGAAGAGGAAAAACATCTACATTCTAAACGAGTTGAACATCAAGGAGAACTGGCTCATAAACGGCATCCTGTCCCGAAAGTTAAAGTATTTTGGCCACGTCAAGCGGCATGGTGGCTTGCAAAAGACGATGGTAGAAGGTGCAGTTTGTGGAAGGCGAGGCAGGGGTCGACCACTGCGAAGAGGGATACATGACATTGAGGATGCATTTGCATTGAAAGCACATGGGGCTGGAGAGCTGGCTAGGAAAAGAATTACTTTCAGGCGGTCCGTGAAGAGAGCGACGTTCTGTAAAGGACTTGCCGATTCACGATGAACAAAAGAAGTAGAAAGAAAGAAGAACACACAAGGCAACATAAAAATAGCAAGCTATAGTTACCGTGTCGGGAATCGAACCTGTCACCTTCAAATGGCGTATGCGCCTGTTTTTGTAATATATGTAATAATTCCCATTTCTGAAAGTATTCTCTTACTGCTCTCTGCACATATACTAACAATACGCTGCGCTCAGTTAGAACTGACGTCGCAACACACGGGACATTTTCGTAAATGCACTGTCCCTATCTTCAGCAGCCGGAGAAAGAGTTCCAACGCAGATGGTAACATCCTTTTACATCTCTGATAAAAAGCTGTAATATACTGGATTTTAAAAAAAAAGGGGGGTGGGGGAGGGGGGGGGGTGATTGCAGTCAAGCTAGTGTCAATAAATCCATTCACTGATATCTGACTAAGGAGCTTAAGAAGGGAAAAACACACGCAGGAACATTAGGAGGTGTCTTTTTCTTTTCCATTTCTGTAAAGACTGTTACCGAAACGTCTAATTGTTCCCGTGTGTGTTATTTCCTTTCCCAGCTTCGTTAAGTTTCTCTGTCACGTTCACTGGATTAATTTCATTTCGTGGTATGGTGGTGATGGTAGTAGTGGTGGTGGAAGAGGAGGAGAATTCAGCTAGATGGACAGAAGGCACCTCAAATTATCGTCTCTACTCTTCCTCTCTCTCTCTCTCTCTTCCACAGATTCAGCGAGATGGACTAGAAGGTACCCCAAATTATCGTCTCTACTCTCCCTCTCTCTCTTCCACAGATTCAGCGAGATGGACTAGAAGGCACCCCAAGTTATTCTCTCTACTCACGCCAGAAAGATATAAGAAGTTTGAACACACCAGGTCCAGGTGCCCACTGCGTGGATAACGCCGTCACTGCCACACGCCCTCACTACCCGGCTTATACTTTTGGTAACCGACACCAGCGTGGCCGTGCTGATAAAATTCCAGGTGAGAGACTGTAATACAAAACTTCAGGTAACAGACCATCATATAAATTCCAGGTAAGAAACTGTCATATAAAATTCCAAATAAGTGACCATTATATAAATTCCAGGTAAGAGACTATCATATAAAATTCCAAATAAGTGACCATCATATCAATTCCAGGTAAAAGACTATCATATAAAATTCCAAATAAGTGACCATTATATAAATTCCAGGTAAGAGACCATCATGTAAATTCCAGGTAAGAGACCATCAAATAAAATTCCAGGTAAGAGACCATCCTATAAAATTCCAGGTAAGAGACCATCAAATTAGATTTCAAGCTAAGAGACTATTATATAAAATTCCAGGTAAGCCACAATTGTATAAATTCCAGGTAATAGACCATCATATACAATTCCAGATAAGCGACCGAAATATAAATTCCAGGTAAAAGACCATTATATACAATTCCAGATTAAAGACCATCATATAAATTCTAGGTAAGAGACCATCATATACAATTCCAGGTAAGAGACCATCATATAAAACTCCAGGTAAGAGACCATCATATAAAATTCCAGGTAAGAGACCATCATATAAAATTCCAGGTAAGAGACCATCATATAAAATTCCAGGTAGAGACCATGCTATAAAATTCCAGGTAAGAGACCATCATATAAAATTCCAGGTAAGAGACCATCATATAAAATTCCAGGTAAGAGACCATCATATAAAATTCCAGGTAAGAGACCATCATATAAATTCCAGGTAAGAGACCATCATATAAATTCCAATTAGGGGACCATCAAATAAAATTCCAGGTAAGAGACCATCATATAAAATTCCAGGTAAGAGAACGGTCAAGAACACTCGAAAGTGCAGTCAAGGTACACCAGTCGAGATTGCAGTTGCGGAAAGAGAAGTCCAGTTGGCTGAGCAGAGCCAAGGAGGGCTGGGCGTTCTCTGTAATGAAAGCTTGTCTTGGGTGACGACGCATGTGGCGGTCGTGATTACTATTCAAACAAGACAGCAGTGCTACATACGAGGAAGACTCTCGTAGATGTCGGCAACAGCTGTGTGCTGAGAGGACTCAGAGTTTAGAGTTCTGCCGGTCATCGTAGATTTCCTCGACCAGGCTGAGGTACTGGCTGCACATAATGAAGCTTATGAATTGTGAAGTGTCTAGTCAACCGAGGTGACGTGTCTGCTACGTGTATAGCAACGGAGGTCAAGTTGAGTAGGCTAGATGGAGCCTATCCATCCTTACTGTTAGTCCTGACGTGGGGTTAGCCAGTGGCCTGGGCATTGAAGCGGTGAGGTCAAAAGTTGTAGTGACAGCTAATGTAGGCTGTCCGATGGAGTGCCGAAGAACTGTTTTGAGTGAGCGGAGTTTGTTACATTCATTTCATGTTTAGCCGGTGTTAGACATGTGTATGAGCTTCGCCTTCATTATTATCTGTACGGGTGTGTGTACCAGAACGTTCTTGTGAAACAAATGTGTATATATGACGGCACGCCGTCGTTTTGAGTTTTCCTGACTGCACGAGTTGCAGTGTTCAAGCGAAGCTCATATCCTAGAGAATCACTTGACCACATGTTCTTATGCTTCCAGTATTCAGCATACAACAGAGTGGAAAGAGAGAAAGAGGAAGGCCAAAGAGAAGATGGATACAGGATGTGGCGGATGATCTTCAGATGGGTGTATCGGACGCGGGGCATCTTGCTTGTGATCGAGAAGTTTTACGAAGGGTTGTTATGGGAGCATATTTAATATGAGAATAATTTTTGAAAAATGCAGAGAATACAATGTAGATCTTCATGCTTGTTTTATTGATTATAGCAAGTCATTTGATTGTGTCCAGCACCACAAACTGTGGACTATTATGAAAAGTATGGGGTTTCCAGCGTATTTAGTGCAATTAGTTGAAAATCTCTATCATGAACAACAAGCAGCCATCAGAGCAGCTGGTGAAACATCTGATTGGGTCGAGGTGCAAAAGGGGTTAATTCTCTCACCATACCTATTCAATATATACGCAGAAAATATAATGAGAAATGTCAAAAATGACCAGACTTGTGACAGTTATGATCCGCTCAAAATTGGTGGCAACCCTATTCCGGAACTCCGCTACGCGGATGACACCGTCCTCCTTTCGAACAGCGTAAAGGGAATAGAAAATTTAATATTGTCCGTCCAAAAGCACAGTGAAGATCAAAATCTGTTCTTGAATTTAAAGAAAACGCAAATAATGTCAACATATAAAACTGGCTGTCACCCAAAAATAACAATAAATGATGAAGAAATTGAAAATGTCACAAACTTTGAATATCTAGGCTCTATAATAAACAATAATGGAGACTGTTCGGCAGAAATTAAAAGGAGGATGGCCATAGCAATGCAAAGATCGAACAGCCTTAAAAGTCTATGGTTAAGCACCAGCAAGGAGTTAAAAATTAGAATTTTGAGAGCATGCATCTTCCCTGTGGCTACATACGGATGTGAGTCGTGGACTATCTCTCAGTCCTTAAGGGAAAGATTTTAAATAGGTGCTTTTGAGCTGAAATGCTATAGAAAGATTCTCAGAATATCTTGGACAAAGAAGATGAGAAATATTGACAACTTAAAAGATCTGAACATCAAGGAAGATTGGCTAATAAACAGCATCCTTTCTCGAAAGCTGAAATATTTTGGTCATATCAAGCGCCACGACGGATTGGAAAAAGTTATAGCAGAAGGCATGGTACCAGGAAGGAGGGGCAGAGGCCGACCGACACGAAGATGGACACAGGATATAAGTGACTCTTTGAGTGTGAAAGTTCATGAGGCGGGAGAACTGGCAAGAGACCGAGTTTCTTACAGGCAGACTGTGATGAGAGCGACGTTCTGCAAAGGACCTGCTACATGATGATGATGTTATGGGAGCAAAGTTCTGCAAAGGACATGCTACTAACTGACTGAATCTGTAGTTATTTGTCGCATTATATTGCTTCAGCTGTTTCCCTTTCAGACAATTATTACATGTAATGTTTACTATGTCACATTCTCTTTCTGTAATTTACTCCTAGTAATGTTTAATTAGTAGTGTCACATTTCCTTGCTTTAATTCACACATATTAACACCAGACTTGGACACTATCAAAGGATAACCTGTAAAATGAGATGCCCGAGAAAAGCCGCCAACTCAACCATCCGAGAAAAAGTTAAAAATGATATTATCGGACAGACTGTAGGAACAACACCATGCAGAAGATCGAATGGTTTGTATTATCTAGTGAGAATACAGCTACGAAAACTATCAACGCAGGCGCTACACATGACAAGGTCTGAAGTGAAACCAAGAGGCTGCCCTAGGAAAAATGGATTGATGATATTAAAGAGCTTGTGCATCCACAAAGGATGACAATAGCGATTGCTGTCCATCAAGCAATGGATCGCAAACTGTTCCTTTCCACAACGCTGAACGGCAGAAGTGGAAATTAAATTGATAATAATAATGAATGTTTAGTAATTGATGTCACAATATATTTCTGGTGTTTAGTTCCAGTAATGTTTAGTTAGTCATGTCACGTTCACTTGCTTTAATACACCTTCTGTCACACAGATTATCACTTTTTTAGTTATGTATGTCAAATTTATTTTGTTTTCCTTTGTTGATACAAATTATCACATATAATGTTTACCTATGTAATATTTAGTTATTTATGTTGATTTTGATGCAGTATCTGACAACTTACCCAACCTTTCTGTGCAGATTATCCTCTGTGAGGTTTAACTAATCATGTCACATTTTCTTTCTCTAGTTTACTTTCAGTAATGTTTAGTTAAATATTGTCGCACGCTCGTGTTTCATTTCACTCCCTGTCATGCAGATTATCTTGTTTAATGTTTAGTTATTCACGAAAAGTGTCTTTCTGTAGTTTAATTTTAGTAATGTTTAGTTAAATAATGTGTTTCGGTTCACTCCATATGCAAATCATCTTGTGTAATGTTTAGTTAGTGTGAAATGCCTGCTTCTATAGTTTACTTTTAGTAATGTTTAGTTAAATAATGTCACATTCTCTTGTTTAACTTGACTGCTTGTCATGCAGATTATTTTCTGTAATGTTTAGTTAAATAATGTCACATTCTCTTGTTTAACTTGACTGCTTGTCATGCAGATTATTTTCTGTAATGTTTAGTTAATTGTGTCATGACTGTTTCTGCAGTTTACTTCCAGTAAGCAAGTTAAGTAAAGAACTCTTTTCACGACAGTAGGGAAACGGGAAAATGAAGCTTAAGTTATAATTTATTAGACCAATCGTCACTGGGTCGTTGATGTGCCCAGTAACAGGCTAGCAACCTTTATTTCCGAAAAATGAGGCTGGACACAACTGGGGCGTATTCCCACTAATGATTAGTTTAATGTTTCACATTCTCGTATTTCATTTAACATGTAATGTTTAGCTAATAAAGTCAAATTCTGTTGCTTCCTTTAACATGTAATGTTTAGTTAAACATATCGTACGCTTTTGCTAAGTTTAACATGTTAAACATTCAATGAAACATTTTACATTATCTTGTTTCATTTAACATGGATTGTTTAGCTGATAGCATCACATTGTCTTGCAATGTTAAGTTAATAATGTCACATTTTTTAGTTTCATTTGACATCAAATGTTTAGGTAATAATGTCACATTGCCTTGCTGCATTTAACACGTAATATTTTGTTAATAACGTGACATTCTCTTGCTGCATTAGGCACGTAATGTTTATTCAACGTCACTTTCTTCTGTTTCATTGGACATCGAATGTTTCGTTAATATTGTCCCACTATCTTGCAGCACCCAACTGCTACAGTTTGCCTAACCCCGCTGTACAGAGCACCAAGCCCCAAGCACCATGGTACAGCTTAAAGGGCCATCTGAAATATGACAAAATTCAGGAGAAAGCAAAAAGGGTATGATTGTGGGTCCTTTACTGCTTCACTTGTCAGAGGAACAGTCCCGTTTGTGTATCATTTCGTTCTGTCTTACTGCTAGTACTACTTTATTTGTCAGAGAGAGAGAGAGAGAGAGAGAGAGAGAGAGAGAGAGAGAGAGAGAGAGAGAGAGAGAGAGAGAGAGAGAGAGAGATCTGTAAAGGATAATTAATTGCACCCTCATCCGCACCGGACTGTAGGTTACACTACGCTGTTCTAGCCATTATCCATGACCTAATTATAACTTTTCTGGAGGTTGAATGGGGTATCTGGGATGTGTTCTGTTGTCCCGCCTCCCAGCGGCTCCATGTGTTAAGACGGCATTGGTGTCTTTATATATATATATATATATATATATATATATATATTATATATATATATATATATATATATATATATATATATATATATAATATATATAAGACACCAATGTATATATATATATATGTGTGTGTGTGTGTGATTCGAAATATATTAGCTATAATAAAACATCAAACGTAGTGTTATTTAATCGAAATTAAACATAACCTACAGTAAGATGGAAAACGATGCCAATTTTTCTATACTTTCACTTTATTTATATTTGAAAAAGTTTTCTCCTAATTTTTTTTAAAATGTCGAAGTCATTGATCATATCCTCAAACTAATCTTTTGTAACACATCTACTTCTATACTTAACATTGATGAGGCACACAGCGTGCCTTGTTGTTGTTCTGATGTGATTTGGTAATATACTTCAGCCGAAAAAATAAACGCTCAGCTCTAAGGCTATTGGAGATTTATGTGGTGCTCCCTTCCTTTGTGATGCCCTTAGCATGTGCTTAGTGTGCTTTAACATGTAATCCGGTCCTGGTCATGAGATATGATCTGTTTTAACCGACGGTGGCCACCAGGAGGCTAGGTATTTATACCCCACCAGGAGATCACACAAGCGATAAACACCCGGTGACACAGTGCCACCATGCGGATGAGGATCACCCGTGGAGAGGTCCCAGAAACTCCTCTCAGCCGTTAGGCCACGTCTATACCCCGACAGAAGTCAGGGTATGGCTTCAAACAAAAGAGTGCACCCCACGAGCGGACGACAGGCGTTAACGATTTTTGTGTGGCAACCAGCAGCACAGGTGAAGGCGTACATGAAGAATCCAGCTTACATTAATCAGCCACAGTACATTGATATCGGCGGCGTCCGTGGCTAAGGCGTTGCGAGTCCGACTCGTAAGCCAGCATACCGCCATCGAAACCCACTGCAGGTTGCGTGGATTTTTGTCGTGGTATGGGACGTCGCAGGTCGACCCAGCCTAAAATGGGTACCAGGATGGGCTGTCCTGGGAAAGTAAAGACAGCCGGCGTAATGCTGAGCACATTACCCACAGAGTGCTGATGGTCTGTAAAAATATGGGACGCTCTGCCCATATGCCCGATGCGCCGAAAGGCGTGAAAAGGGAACTTTACTTTTACTTTACTTACATTGATATCGAAAATAATGTCGGACAATTAAGTGATGAGACTGATTCCATACAAATTAAATTAATCAAAAGTTGAAGATATGACCTATATTTTATTCAAAGTAAGCCCCTTGTGCATTGATACAGCGAGTGGCACGATCTGTTGTTATGGCCCTTAAAGTCGACGTTAAAGCCCTTTGGACACCATCAATAACGTCAAAGTAGTAGTAGTAGATTTTTACCCCACTAGGACATCGCACAAGCGATAAACATCCGATGACACAGAGTGCCACCATGTGGATGAGGATCACCCATGGCGAAGTCCTAGCAACCGCGTTCAGATATTAGACCATATTTATGGTCGGGCTATATTGCAGCCCCTGGCGAGAGCCAGGGTGGGGCTTCAAAATAACGAAAAATTGCATCTCATAAGGAGATGACAGGATATAATGATAAGGAGGCGGACGAGATGGCAGGAAAGGGGATGGGGAAGACAAGCAGCAGGAAAGCCAGGGCAACTAATTATATTTATTTTTGAGAAAGAGCTAATTTTTTTTTTATACTGAGAATAGCAACACTTTAATGTATTATTGATTTCTTGGGTTTTCAATGTTTTTTAACAACTCTTCTCTTTTCTTTTTTTTTTGTGCAATGCGCTCTTCACGTTTTCGATGGGCCTTTTAAAACTTCTTTTTACGAGCCTCAGCCTCGTCACTAAGTATCTTTAATTTTGGAAATGTTAAAAAAAACCACAGCAATCCTTTCGTCCTTTTCAGGATGAATTTTTTGTAATCTGAAGCACCACCCTGGCTTTTGCCAGGGGCCGCAATATAGGCAGGCCACAAATATGGCCAATTGTCTGAACGCGGTTTCTGGGACCTCTCCACGGTGATTCTCATCCACATGGTGGCACTTTGTGTCATCGGGTGTTTCTCGCTTGTGTGATGTCCTAATGGGGTAGAAAGTCAGTCAGTCAGTCAGTCAAAAAACCACAGGGAGACAAATCTGGGGAATAGGTTGGACTGTTGAGAACACACACTTGTTTTTCTAGCCACACATTCCTGTACAACTACCGCCAGGTGAGCCCAATGAAGAAGGAAAAAACTGCCAGGTGTGAATACTCGTGTGGGACTTGGAGAATCCGTTTCAGTAGAAATAAACTGCGGCTGTGACAGTCTGTCCCTCTGGAATACATTCTTTGTGAATAACTCCTTTGCTTTCGTAGAAGCACACAAACATTGTCTCCACTTTCGACTTCTGAAAACATATATATTTTGCCTTTTGGTGATGATGAGACTTCCACTGAGCACTTTCGCGTTTAGATGTGGGATCATAGCGGAAAATCCACATTTCATCCTCTACATAACAATCACATTTAGGAAATATTTATTTCTGTCACACGTTTTGATGATGTCTTTTGCATACTCGACACGCTGATGTTTTTGGTTATCTGACAACGAATGTGGTACAAACCGGCAAGCAGTTTTTTTCATGCCCAAATCTTCCACTAAAATTTTACGAATGGTCTCTCGATTATTAACACAAAATTAATCTGCCATCATCCTAACAGTCAAACAACGATCCTCTTGTATTCGTTCTCTGTCGTTTTCAATGATTTCCTCATTACGGACAGAAATTAGACGTCCAGGTCTAGTTGCATTAGCAGTTATTTCCAGATCACTTTTGAATCGTGAAAGTCTGTGCAAGAGATAAGTAATTGTCCCCATAAACTTTTTGCATCACTTCAGCTGTCTCAATGGCGCTTTTTCTGAGTTTCAAAAAAGAATTTAATGTTAGCTTTTTGCTCCATGCTAATTACCTAACGAGGAACCTCTGACTAGGTCAAGAAAATGGCGGCTTGTTTGTTGTCTGCTTATAGGCCGTCAAAGAAAAGTGGCCAGATCATAGATCAAGGTTGCCTCTTTGGAGTCCATGCTTTGCTTTGTAGATAGCCTTTTTTGTCTTGGCCTTAATTCATTTTCGGACCTTGTATGAAAGGAGTCGCAGAAGAGTCTGCTTCTGGATGGATGTGTTTGAAATTAAATACAGCAGATATGTGATCTTAGAAAGTGAAAAGCAGTATTGGATTTAGTATAAACTAACTAAGCAATAGCTTGGGGCTTCATAAACTGCAGGTGCCTCATTTTTGCCCACAGAACAGTAATGTTTAAATATATGTTTTATGCAGTATTTTTTAAATATATTTACAGTTGTGATCTTCCAACAATTGTCTAATTTTATGAATGTTATTTTCGGTAAATTATATCATACTTATATTTTTATTCTAACTTGTTGTATATCCTATTTATATAATATTATATATATATATATATATATATATATATATATATATATATATATATATATATATATATATATATATATATACACACACACATATATATATATATATACGTATATGTTTTTGGGGTGACATTTTTCTGTGATTGGCTGTTGTAGTTTGAAGCGGTAGGGATCTCGTGGATTTACAAAACTTTCTGCTAAAAGGAATGGATGGATACCTGAGTAGACTTGTATAACTACTTCAAGGTTGTCATCACACCTGGAAAGCGTTGCAACAACCAGATTCCAACACACAGTAAATGCTCAAAAAAAAAAAGGCACTGATATGTCAGAATTCACGAACAGAAGATATCCTCGCCTTCATAGACGGGTCTGTGAAGTACTGGTCAAAGTCAGATGGGTATACACAGCACGAAGATGTGTATGTTGGTTCTTACCAGGCAACTACGTCAAATGTGACCATAGAGATGCACAGACAGAGCCAATACTATTAACGGACTCGACTGGTGGTTAGTGATAAATCGCTGTTGCTAACACGATTACGTGCCCTGGGAGTGAAACCTCGTGAAATACGTGGTTGCCGTCTTTGAGGCCAAGTCAGGGATAAATTAGGAACGAAAAGAGGTGCCGGTGCTGCGTACCACACCAAAAAAAAAAAAAAACCTACTGAATTTGCATCTGTTAAATAAGAGTGTTGTGACCGAAGATATTTCTTCACGTGGATTATGATACAGAGATCTCCTTCCCTACTCTTTACTCAGAAAACAGCAGGAGGTATGGAGAGTCAGAGAAGGATAAAACCCCCTTTTGTCCTTTGATAAGTATTTCATAAAGATGACAAACAATGATTTACCGAAATTAGATGTGTTGGGCTGAGAGGCACAGATATCGCAGCCTGTCAGTAAACCACATCGAGCCAACCGCCCTTTTAAGGGTGAACGCATGGGTAAAGCATGAACCTTTATCACAACTAATATGAGCAAAATCATAAACAACGGAAATAAGATGGCATAAAAGAACTGTCAGGGTAAACAAAAGAGATGCAATTTAAAATAGAGAAATACAAAGGAAAATCAGGACCGTAACCCGAGTCCTAGTCTTCTATTAGATTTCCCTATTTTAAACTGCATCTCTTTTTGTCAATAAATGAAATGGTTTCGCGATCTAATGAGAATCGCCTGGTGCTAACTAACACAAACAGACAAGCTTTACAACTTCAGTGAACATGGAGCAGGGGAAAAACCACACAAAAACTATGATATTACATCATCAAGAACAACCTTTAAAAATAAAGATAAACGAATGCAATGCATTGGAATAAGAACACATAATTGTTTTTAGGAAGAGGAGGAGGAGAAGAAGAAGCAGAAGAAGAAGAAGAAGAAGAAGAAGAAGAAGAAGAAGAAGAAGAAGAAGAAGAAGAAGAAGAAGAAGAAGAAGAAGAAGAAGAAGAAAAAGAAGAAAAAAGGAAGAGAATACTAGGCATTATGCGTAAATTGGCAGCGCTTTCCCCACAGGTTAAAGGATTAAGTAAAGTTTAACTCTGACAATGCTATTTATTTATTGACTAATTTATCATGTGTTGTATTATAGACCCCAGGTCCTGGCACTGCAACGGACCCCAGCGTGTATAAGAATAGGGCTCCATACTACAGTTTAACCAGTCGAAACTTGATGCCAGGAGATAATGTTCAGAAACCGGGACCTGCAGCCCATATTGCAGATAAGGTGTGTTCATTTACCTCAGCGCTAGTTCTTAGTTCTCTGCCTTTTATGTCTCTTTTATTCACAGCAACAACAACGACAACAGCACCATCACCAACAACAAGAACTATTACTACCGCTACTACTGCCATTACTGAGGCGACTACTCTATTATTGCTTCTTCTTCTTCTTCTTCTTCTTCTTCTTCTTCTTCTTCTTCTTCTTCTTCTTCTTCTTCTTCTTCTTCTTCTTCTTCTTCTTCTTCTTCTTCTTCTTCTTCTTCTTCTTCTTTCTTTTCTTCTCTTCTTCTTCTTCTTCTCCTTCTCTCCTTCTTCTTTTCTTCTTCTTCTTCTTCTTCTTCTTTCTTCTTCTTCTTCTTCTTCTTCTTCTTCTTCTTCTTCTTCTCTTCTTCTTCTCTTCCTCTTCTTCTTCTCTTCTCCTCCTCCTTCTCTACGCCTTCTTCTCTTTTTCTTCTTCTTCTTCTTCTTTTTCTTCTTCTTCTTCTCTTCTTCTTCTTCTTCTTCTTCTTCTTCTTCTTCTTCTTCTTCTTCTTCTTCTTCTTCTTCTTCTTCTTCTTCTTCTTCTTCTTCTTCTTCTTCTTCTTCTTCTTCTTCTTCTTCTTCTTTCTTTTTCTTCTTCTTTTCTTTTTTTCCCCTAATATGAAATTGGGCATAGGCTATCATTTCTTCTTCTTCTTCTTCTTTTTTTCTCTTCTTCTTCTTCTTCTTCTTCTTCTTCTTCTTCTTCTGTCTTCTTTTTCTTCTTCTTCTTCTTCTTACTTCTTCTTCTTCATCTTCTTCTTCTTCTTCTTCTTCTTCTTCTTCTCTCTTCTTCTTCTTCTTTTCCCTTTTTTCTTCCTTCTTCTTATGATCCTTCGTATCCCTCCGCCTTTTCTGCTCATGTTTATCCTCTTACTTCTTCTTCTTTTTCTCTTCTTCTTCGTTCGTTTTTCTTCTTCTTCTTCTGCTTTCGTCTTCTTTCTTCTTTCTCTCTTTCTTTTCTCTTCTTCTTCTTCTTCTTCTGTCTTCGTCCTCTTTTTCTTCTTCTTCTTCCTCGTCTTCTTCTTCTTCTTTCCCTCTAAATCGGGGCATAGGCTATCATAGAACTCATGGCCGGCCTTCGTATCCTTTGTGATCGCATGTTATTCACCCCGGTGTCCTCCACACCTGTTTTAACGTCTTCATATGCACTCTGAAGAAATCTATCTATGCCTATGTCTTGACTGCACTCTTGTCTCTCTTACAGTCGTGTGTCCAGCACTGTAACCCGGCCTACAGTTTCGGAATCAGGCACTCTTCATTCATGACCCCACTTATCGTGGACTTGCCCAGCATCGAATGTGGGGCTTGCGAGTGAACCTTCGGCCACTTCAGTAGTCCATCAGTGCAGGTACTAGTTCATTATACACATGTTTCTCCCTGTGGGTTCCGGGGTGGTCACTGCGGGGAACAAAAAGGGTAGACACCTTGCTCCCTAACAAGCATGTCGTAAGAGTCTGCTAATTCAGAATGTTTCCGTTGAAGTCGAGTGCATATGCCTGAGAGGTGATAAACCATCGATCTGCATACAAATAAGCCATATATGTAAAAGAGATGTGCATGCAAAACAAGAGTAAAGCCCAGATTTGGACGAATAACCAGAACTCTCGGTTCGAATTGATTAGCCAGTGAACGTGATGAAGAAGATGAAGAAATTTTACACGTAACCTGCAGTGATTATTTACAGATTCATTCGAATTGCTTCTTCTGTTGAATGGAAGTGAATCATGAACAGTTGGTAGGTTAGTGGAAATCGATTAAAAACAGTAGAAATATGATTCTATAAAAGAATGATGAGAAAACAGCGGACATATATAAAGTGTAATTAGAAGGTCTTGAAAGAACGTAACTCACAAAAAGAACTTCTTCTTCTTAGACTTTAAAAAAAAAAACTGTGAACTTCAGCGGAAATTTCTGGTTGTTTGTCAGCCTGTGGACTTTAGTCTTGTTGCAGAATGTTGGTGGTACCTACATAGACAACTGATTACACACATCAATGGAAGAAAAAAGGGAGGGGGGGGGGGGTTATATCTTTTGGTCTCGTTTTAGGAAGGGAAAAACTGGCGTATGTAATGGCAGATGAGACGTGATAGGTGAAGAGACTCAGAGGAAGGCCAAGAGAAAAGATGTTGGACAGTTTGACATGTAGGCTGGGCACAATGTCTAGCAGAAACGATATACAGTATATAACACACGGTCTGCTTTTCTGATGGGTTGGCGTCGAGTCTGCAACAGGTTCAATTTATATTTTTATAAATGATCTTGTCTCCGGGTTGACCTATCTTAAAATGGGTATTGAGAAATGTCATGGGAGGTAAAGGCAGCTGTCTTGTTGTTGACCAGATCACACGATTTTTTAAATGGTCGATACGAATGTCTAGTACCATATCACTATTGTACCATTATTGTGAAATGGGTCCTTTACTGTGTGTGGATTTTGGTGGGGGGCGGGGGGGGGGGGTATTTGAACACACGATAGAGGATTGTAGAAGACTTGTTGGCCAACGTCTCACCGCATGAACTGTAGATAAAATATAATGGTAACTAATTTTCTGTGTGAGGTATTTACTTGTAGGAAATCTGAAGCATTAGCAACTCTCTGCCTCCTAACGTTTAGCACCCAGACGGCAGCATCTGTTTTTATAGGACTTCCTTTACTTTAGCACAGAGCAGCTGTAAACATATTAGGTAATTTCTTCATCTCAGTTCCATGCGCTAGTTTGGCGGGAAACAGATTAAACTTACTGCCCCTTAACAAGCATGTCGTAAACATCAAGGGTTTGCTGATGTCGGATGTGTTGGGCTGGAAGACACAGATTTTGCACCCCAGTTTAAACTACGACACGGTAGCTAAACGATCTTTTAAGGAAGAAGAAGAAGAAGAAGAAGAAGAAGAAGAAGAAGAAGAAGAAGAAGAAGAAGAAGAAGAAGAAGAAGAAGAAGAAGCAGCAGCAGCAGCAGCAAACGATTAAGAAAATGACCTTTTTCTGAATGTACATATTTTTCCTTGCAGATCTAGTGCCACAAAACATTGTGGCCATCGAATGTGTTTCTCAGCTCTCCTTACTGCTTGAACATTTAACTGATTTTCACCTGAGGATTTGCGATTTTCTGAACATAAAACCAACAACACCCGCGAGCCATAGACAGTTTCATTACTGTGATTGATTTTTCATTTTTTTTTTTTTTTTTTTTGGGGGGGGGGGGGGGGGGGGGGGGGTTGCAGCGACAGTCAGTTTGGGGTGGGTTTTGGTTAACTTCAGACACACTCATCCGCACAAACAAGTTAAATTGAAAGTTATGGACACAAAAGATAGGAACATAAAAAGATCAGATAAAAATGATAAAAATATATAAGATAAGAGGCTCATCAAATGTAAAGCTATACTGATACAAGCACATGTTCCACTTGTCTTCTTTTTCTTCGTCCCTCTAGACAGCAATTTTACCCTTTAGCACCTGGTTTTAGAGAGATGTAAGGTGCTATCCTTTTTGTGAGTGCTACGTAGATTCTGGTGTCCACGGCCTGGGATATTCCGTCTATCCATCGGGTGGCGTGAGCGACCTCTATGCGTGCATCTCTTGTGTCTAAGTGACAGGGCTCTTTGTAGTGCACTACCTTGTGGTAGGCTAGACACACATCCGACTGTCTGATCTGTTGCCCCTCGGTGTGGTTTAGCACTGGTTCCGCCGCCCCAGCTTGTGTCCTTGTATCGTCACCTCATGTTGTCTTTATCAATGAAAACGGTATTTTCATCATGACGTCATCTTGAAGCAAGTTGCATTGCAAGGTTTCGTCAGGTGTGTGGTTCTTCAGAACATCCAGTTGCGACAAGCATTTTTGGGAATAGCTGCCCAGGGCCTGTAACGGCCTCTGCCTCTACCGCCCCCCTCCCACCCCAGTCTAGCTCCCCACAGTCTACTTGGCAACGCCGCAGTGCTGTGTTTCTCATTGCATGGCTCTTATTCCATAGCCTGTTTCACTTGAGTGACACCTACAGTAGCTAAGCTACTGTCGGTTCAGCTCTTGTTGGGGTGAAGGCGGGATTCATTAGAGTTCACAAGCTGCTCCACCACACCTAGAAGAAGAGACAATAGTTAGTGAACTGTTATGCTAAGCAATAATACTAAGTGTTGTTAGCGCATTTCTGACTTTTTTAGATATAGTGCCAAACTGTGCTGGATGGAAGCAGCATGGAAGTCACAGTAATTTGACAATCGTGACTAGCAAGACCCGCTTGCGTTAAAAAAGTCTTCCCGGGTTTAGAAAGGGATTTCAGGACCGTTGTTACCACTGCATACATTGAATGTGCTTTTCCCCCATACTCTTGACCGGTCTGCAGTCATTTTCTACGTTATTCCTGCTCCCTTCCTGACCCCCTTCTCCCCCCCCCCCAATCCCTTTTTTATGCGAGAATTTAACTCAGTTGTCAGTTAGCGGTTCCTTTACTTGACTCGGTCAATCTGCTTATCCTTTACAGAACGTCGCTCTCTTCATGACACGCCTGAAAGTCCTACCAAGCATTTGTCTAGCCAGAACATCTTCAATGTCCTGTATCCACATTCGCAGAGTTGGCTTCTGCGTCGTTTCCCAGAAACGGCACCCCCATCACTATTCTCCCCAATCTTGGCCACATGCCTGGAGAGGATGCCGTTTATTGGCCAATTCTCCTTGATGTTCAGCTCATGCTGGATGACGGCGTTCTTTCTTCCCCTTTGTCCACGGTATGGTAAGAATATTTCTGCAGTGTTTCAGTTTACAGGCTCTGATTTTATTCCTCAGAGACTGAGAGTCCATGACTCACATCCATAAGATACATGATCTCAAAATGTTAACTGTAACTCGTGTGTAGATGCTCGGCCATAGGTTCTTCATGCTGTTTAGCCTCTGCGTTGCTAAAGCGAGGCATTTTTTGACTTAACTAGACAAACATATCACAGTCATAAACAAGTAATCTGCAACTGAATTAAAAACATATTAACAAGATGAGAGCTTCCACACACAGAACGGGGTGGGGCTGGGTGCTTATCCCTTTCATAATTTTCTAGTGGTGGGAGGGGGTAGGTCTCAAACTGTTGTCAACTGCACAATAATAATATTATTATTAAAAAAAAATAATACAAACGAAACTAAATAAATCGCCCGCTCCAAAGATCTCTCCCTGCCCTTAATCTGCGAGGTATTCCAGGAGTAGAGAAAATAATAACTACTATTGTTATTGTTGTGTACTGAATGAAAAATGTAATAATATATTTGAAATAATAGGAAGTGTATAAAAATCTGCTTTAAAATATAAATGTCTGTACGTGGTGTGTCGAAACAGCGATCATTAAACTCGAATGAGTTGAGAGTGAGCAAGTCCGACGTAAAGGATAGGTGTCTTTAGCTGAACCGACTCTGCGGTCTAGGAAGAATCGCAAATCCTGGAGATCACCAGAGTGTGGAATAGACGTGTAGGGAGTAGTAAAGTCTCAGGTGGCACCTGGAAATAGAGCTGTACCGAATCGACTGGAAGACAAATATGTCTTGATACGTTTTCTTGACATAGGAAGGAAGACCACGGACGAGGGGCTGGAATATACAGTCGAGGAATTCGAATTTGGGTTCTGTGGGACAAGCACAGGCGGACACGATCGGTCTGTCCGAAGTGTCCGGTTTGTGTATTTTGGGGAAGTAGTGAAAAGAGGGCTTTCCCAACAACTTTCCTCGACAATTAGAGAGCTAGTCCTGGATCAAGGCGGTCTTGGTGGTGGCTTATACTAGTTATTGTTCCCAATAATGCTATCTCGCGTCTTTGGTCGGTAAAAAAGACTTGTTGGTTCCCCTCCTGCACGAAGTCTTTTCTTCAGACCAATACCAATCTTCTTTTGTTGATGAGGTTTGATGACAATATTTTTATTTAGTCGTATCAGCGTCTAATGCTCTTACGAGAGGTTGAAATGCTTGCGAGATTTCTTCTGCAGTTTATTAATCTTAAAAAGAGTTTTTTGTTAATTTGATCGATCCAAAGCCTTAGATGCCCCAGGTCCAGGAATCCGGGAAGATCTAGTCTTGGAAGCAGGAGAGTCAGGGAACTCAGGTTCATTAGTGCGCCCAGTGTTGTGTTTCAACCTGAACCTGCAGTAAAAGCGACGAACGTCTTAAATGTTGGTGTATCGGCCGCAAGAAGAATGTAATGGTCAGACAGAAACGCCCTTTCTTAGGACAGATCTCTTGAATGAGGACTGATCACCAGGTTGTCAGCACCAGCGGAAGATGGAGAGAGAGACAAAGTCTGAGGGTTTGGGCTAAGTTTGGTAAATTTATTGTGCTTGGCA